TCTCTCTCTCTCTCCTCTCTCTCTCTCTCTCTCTCTCTCTCTCTCCTCTCTCTCTCTCTCTCTCTCTCTCTCTCTCTCTCTCTCTCTCTCTCTCTCTCTCTCTCTCTTCTCTCTCTCTCTCTCTCTCTCTCTCTCTCTCTCCTCTCTCTCCTCTCTCTCTCTCTCTCTCTCTCTCTCTCGCTCTCTCGCTCTCTCTCGCTCTCTGTGGCGGTCTGACCAAAGACTTCTGAAGCTGATTTTCTCTCCCACATTTGCCCATGTCCATTGGTTCCTTTCCAGTTTAGAAACGAAGTTAACGGTTGACATCTTACGACCATACACTTCGAACATTTTGGCTGAGATTACGTTATCATGCTTTATAGTGTTTTTTGCCTCATTTCCTTCATATTACTGTCAGGTGTTTTTCGTGAGGCTGCCTGTGCTGAAGCGTGATACGCTAGCTTCAGTGTCGACACCTTATCCTGAGATTCGCTCGCAGAATATGGCATTTGCCTCCAACATGCGTAGCTCTATCGGTAGCCCACGCGATTGGGCTGAAGCGCATAACCAGTCACTCTAGGCTGTGTTCCCTCTCCCTTTTTCCTTCCCTCTGCCTCTACTTGCTGTTCACCTCTTCTAGGTCGTTACGGCCGCATTTTGCCTTCCACGGCCGGGGGCGGCCTGACTGCCGGGCGCGAGCGCCGCGCCGCCTGTCAGCGTGGGCCGCTTTCAGTGGTGCCGCGCCTACCGTAGCTAGCGGGCGGCTGGCTGCCTGTGCGTGTGCTGTGTGGGCGCCGGCGGCCGGCGCGCGCGCGCGCGCGGCGCCTCTGACTGCCTGTCGTGTCTCTCGTAGATCCCGAGGGTGGCGGCGACCGGGTCACACGACCGGCCACCGAACGGCAGAGGGCGCCGCCAAATTCGGCGCTCACCTGAACGTGCCGGGTAACCGACCACGGCCGTCCGCCCCGACCTGCCTGACCTGACCTTGCCTCACCTAAGCTGACCTGGCTTGGCCTGACCCAGGTCCGGTCTGTGCCGACTTCCTCTGTCTCAGGCTGAGCCGCGGGCGCTGATTTCGTCTGGCTGCGGTCCGTTCTGCGGGCGGAATGGCTGAGATACGTTGTTGTCGCGGTCACCCGACCCCGCGAGAATCTTTGTCAGGTGACGCTTTTGAATTTCACCGCCATGCTCAAACGCTGCGCTCAGCAAGAGAGAGAGGAAGAGAGTTCAGCAGGAGAGCTGCTGAGCATGCGGCGGCTGGGCGTCAGCAGCCAACGGTCCAAAACGACCGGCATCGGTACCCAGCAGTTAACGAATGATTCCTTGAGCCGCGCGGTGGAGCCTGTCACCAGCTTTGCCATGTAAAAGTGATCTAAGATCGATTGGGTAGTCTGCCCCATCCACACAACCACCAACCCCGCCTGCGGATTAGCTGTTGGAAGCTATCCTCTACAAACGTGAACTGGATTCCCAAGGCCGTGAGTCGGCGCTTGCAGCCCGTTAGTGATTGTTCGGTCACGAAGGCCCTGTCCAGTCCCGTACAGACCCTGTCAACATGCATTATCACGTGATGGGCGGTTGTCACCGCGGCTGCGTGATTTTCGAAAGCCTAGCCGGCGCCCGGCGGAAAAGCCGCTCGATTAGCCGCCTCGGTCGCGTGCCGACAAAATGTTCGTGCCCGACCGAGTTCCCCGAAAAGACCGCGGCGCAGCCACAGATGTCCCCCCCCCCCCCCTCCGACGGCGAGTCACCGTTATTGTTCCTTGCGCTGTGTCATTCGCAGAGCATTTTACCGCCGACTCGTGACAGGATCCCCCTCCCCCCGCCGCCTGCCACAGCCAGTCGGCGGCGCCGGCCAGGCGCGAGCCGGCCTGGTACGGAATTCTTGCGGGCACTTTCAAAGCCTCCATGAAAAAGATGCCCGCCAAAAATCCACCTATCTTTTCCTCAACGTCTCATGTCGTCGCCTGGTGGGATGTTTCAAGGTTTTGTCTCTTTTCCTTTTCTGTCGCAAAGCATGTGAGCGGTTGATTGTAGATGGTTGTACAGACAGAAAAAAACATTCCATTTCAACTTAATGCCGTTCAGGTAAATCGAATGGCTCAACAAATGGTTTGACATACCAGTGCACGTCTGTGAGCTCAGCGAATACCGCGGGCTTCAATGGATGTCGCGTGTTCCTGACAATTCCTTCTGTTAATCCAAAAGCCGACGTCTATCCCACAGCCCCGCCCACCAAGCACGATGCACCCTTAAATAAAGCACGGCCTGCATCTGTATGGCATCTCTAAGCTCTCCATGCTTTGATGTGCTGCGACTGCCGTGAGGCGATTGGTACCGTCTCGCGACATAACTGCCGGAGCCAGCTGACTGTTCCCCGGTGCGCTGGGATTAAATGGTTTACGAAGGAATAATTATCAGATGTATTTAGCGTATTGGTGTGGAAAAAGCTAAAATAGCTGATCTATCATAAATAATATGGTAAAGCTAAGAAGCTTTTTCATACGGGTATTCTATGATGGACAACTTTCACACAAGTTAGACAAGCTTTCAATAAAGAGGGCTTCCCATCTTTATCGATTTTTTTCTTTCTACGGTGCACATGGCTTCCTCTTTTATGCAAGCACAGGCGTACATTGTGATGCGACTAGCTCAAGAACAACCAGAGCGTTGATGAATGAAGAGCACTTGGATAAAAAATCCGAGTGGCTTACTCCAATGCTGGGCAAATGGCCTCCCGGTTATTGCCTCGTTTCAACCGCTGCCCGTGATTTCTATTGGCTAGCATTGCAGAAAAGATTGTTTATTGAAGGAATGGGCGATTCTTGAAGTGTTGAAGCTCTGAATTGCTTTAAGAATAATGTACTGCCTTGGAAGCTTTAATGCTGAGCAAAGGTTATATATATATATATATATATATATATATATATATATATATATATATAGTAACTGAAGACATTAGAAACCATGCCATCCTTGTAGGCTATATTTTCTCTCTCTTTACAGTGTAATTACTGTCGCGTTGAGAAGAGCGGAAATAAATAATTCGATCTGTTATGATGACAGGCGTGCAATCAGTCTGGTGGCTCACTTCCGTCAACCTTCTTTGTCTAGCATCGCCTACTTTCTAATATCACGCACTTTCGAAGCAGAAGCGCGATGGTGCGACGTACGCATCCGTCGCCGTCGCCGTCGCCGCCCGACGTCAGCTGACGCTGAGGCACCACTCACTCGGAGAGCAGCACGGCTAGAGGGTTGACCTTGCATGCAGTGCACCCCGACACTGTAGTCCAGTGGCTAGTGCCGTCTGGCTGTCGGTGTCTAACACGCCTGAGTCGAGCGTGCTGAGCGCAGCCGCCGGCGGCGGGGCCGCGCCGTCCGTGCCCGGTCTCGGCGCGGCCGTCCCGCTGCCGCCTGCGCTGCCGCTACCGCTGACCTCTGTCGATCTGACTGGGTCACAGCTGAGTGGCCGCGCCTGACGTGCGCTGGTCCGGGGGGCTTCGCGCGGCACAGCTGCCGGGAAGCGGCGCTGGGCGGCCGGCTGCGCCGCGTCGGCGGCACGCCTCCGGGCCGCCTGGCATGCAGACCGGACTTGACCGGGCCGGCGGCCGGCGCAGCGTGTGGCGTCCGAGCCGAGAGGCGCCGCTCGAGCCGAGAGGCGCCGCTCGAGCCGAGGGGCGCCGCTCGGCGTCCGCCAGGCGGCTCTTGCGTCGGCCCGTCGCCCGCTGATTGCGTCGCTCTCGGTCGGTCCGTACCGAGTCACCGGCCGCCGGCTTTGCGGGGCATTCTGTGCGCCGCGCTGTTGTGTCTGGTCCGGATCACCGGCCGCCGGCTTTGCGGGGCATTCTGCGCGCTGCACTGTTGTGTCTGGTCCGTTTCGGCGCTGTTGTCTGTCCGCCTGTTTGTCTGCCGTAGCTCGCACCAGGCATCCCACAGGCCACGAAGCTGCGTAGCCGCACGCTGGTGGCGTTCTGACACTAGGCTGTATAGTTTGTGACGTTTCGTTGCAAGCACCTTTTGTTTGCAGCTACCTAATGCCTGTTGCACCGAGTTTTGTTGCACAGTTTGGTCTGCATCTGAGTTTGATTTCAGACATCCCGTAGCTGTCTTGGTTGAGCAGCTTGACGAGCTCTCTTGCAGTGGCCTAGCACCGTTTTCGTTCCCTGAGTTTTTTTGTTTGCGTTGTATTTCGCTCGGTTCACCGTCGGTCTCTGGACTCGGTCGGGCGCGCCTAACTCTGCCCTCTGCACTCTGCCTCTCTCTCCTCCTGCGCCTGATGCTCCCTGCACACCGCCGCCGCCGCCGCCGCCGCCGCCGCCGCCGCCGCCGCCACTGCCGCCGCCGCTGCCGCCTCGCAGTGCTTCGACGTACGGAAACCTTCGCAGGCGCGGCCACGGCCGGCGACAGCTCGGCTGACCTGCACGCCAGCCCCAGCGGCGTCTCGCTGCCCGACACCAACGGTCACGTCAACGGCAGCTCCAACGACATCGCCAAGGTGGGCGCTGCCGGCGCCGACTCGCGGGCGGCGGCTGGTGCGGCGCTCTGGCGGAAGCGCGGGTTAACATGTGGCTGTTCGCGGATCGAGCGCGTCGGCGCGCGCGGAATCGCGGAGGCGAAGCTTTGGCTGCTTGTGT